GGTTGCTCAAAGCCCCGGCCAACCTGGTCTTGAACACCTCCAGGGATGGGGCATCCACAGCTTCTCTGGACAACCTGTTCCAGTGCCTCCCCACCCTCTGAGTGACTAATTTCCTCCTGATGTTTTATCTAAATCTCCCTCTTTTAGTTTAAAACAATTCCTCCTGTCCTTTCATTATCTGATCAAGTAAAAAGTTGTTCTCCATCTTTGTCATGAGACCCTTTTAAGTAATGAAAATCTTCAATGAGGTCACCCCGGACCCTTCTCTTCTTCAGGCTGAACATCCCCAGCTCTCTCAGCCTTTCTTCATAGGAGAGGTGCTCCAGCACTCTGACCAACTTTGTGGCCCTCCTCTGGACCCATTCTAACAGGTCCACATCCTTCTTGTGCTGGGGGCCCCAGACCTGGATGCAGCACTCCAGGTGGGGCCTCACAAGGGCAGAGTAGAGGGGGACAGTCATCTCCCTGGTCCTGCTGGTCACATCTTTGGGATAACAGCAATGAGAAACAGTTAAAAGTAAAGCCTGCAACAGGTTATCAGTTGCCTCACCATTGAACATGACAAGATAAGATGAAAGGCACTACCTGGGTTGAACTTGAAAGAATTCTGTTCGCCTTCTTGAAATATCTTATTAGTTTAGCATCACCATATCCTGTGGTATTGCTGCTGGATCACAAGGATCTGCTGGATTACTTGCCTTTTTCACAAGGAGGTTGGCAAAATGATTTATTTAGATATTAATTGCAATTTGTTGGTAGTCATTTGGGTGCAGAAAGAGTTCTAGCCATAAATGGGTATTTGCTGTAAGAACATCTTCATGTAGCAGTGTGGCTTGCAATACTTTTCTAAAGGCAGGTGATTTCTTCAAAACATAGAAGGGTGTTGCTTTCAATGAGAAAATGCTTACCATTCGGGTTCATGGAAATCTCCCTATACAGAGATGTTCTCATATTTTTGTCCTGCTGCTTCTGTATGTTGATTTTTGTACTTAAGGCGTCAGGATCATTCATAAAGCTGACACCCCCAGCAATGAGAAATCAGGATTGAACTTACAGTCAGCTATGGGTTGACTTCGGGTCCACCGAATCACCATATTTACGTATAGATGATAACGTTTTAAAGAGTGATGAACTGTGCATTTTATGTCCTCCTTAGGAAGTATATTTTTAAGACTTCAATTTTTTGGGTCTCATTAAGATCAGTGATAACGGTTTTCTTCTGACTTTGGTTGTATCTCTGATCTGTATTTTTATAAGTATACAGCAAACAGAAGATATAATACAGCTTTTTTGCTGCATAACATTGTCTTCAGTTATGAAACAGCTCGACAGATTATCTTTTATATCTGTTCAGCTCTGATGGCACTTAACATATTGAAATTTATCTATTTCAGATTTAGTTTTCACATTTCTCATGTCTCTTTAGCACTGAAGAGCTTTGTGTGCTCTACTGTGCCACTGAAAACATTAGTATCTCCTTCAAAAATAGTAATGTTGTGCTTTAGAGAAGCTAACTCCACTAGGGTTAGTAGATGTCTTACCATGAACTACACTGGGATCAAGATTTCATTGGCTTAATTGCTTACCATATAATGCAGAAGTAATTGTTGTGTCCCAGGGAGATATCACACTTAATATCACTGAAGTGTATTATTCATTTTTAAATAGCACTTGTCTTTTTTTGATAACTTTTACTTTGATATCTTTTCTTTAAACATTAGAAAAGCAGTACTTCTCATTCCAATGACATTTTGATAATAGTATAATTTTCTGACAGAAATTCCATATTTTTGCAAATCTGAAAATATGAACTCTTTTTTTGATTTTCCTTTCTGTGCCTAGAGGCTGTCTATGTGGCTTTCTATTTATGGGCCATGTTGACTATGGAATACAACCATGTGCATTTTAAAACCATGCATTATAATTGTTTGCCTAATCTTCCAGTTTACTGTTGCTATGATTTCTCTATCACACTCAAGAAAACAAGTTACTAAATACGAGACTTTAAGGCTGGTGTGTTTGAAAAATTCTGTGGCTGGATCAGCTGCACACTGCACTTCAGACACCAACCTAAAAGTCAAATCAGAAATTCAGTTGATTAAAGAGCAATCATTGGATTACATAGAAAATGCAGCCCCTCTTCAGTGCCTCTTAACGTATTCATTATTCAATCCCAGATGCACCATGTTTTGACGTATTGGCAGCTGCAAAATAAAAGAGGGAAAAGTCTTTTTTTGTTGTTTGTTTCTATCAGTGTGATCAGCTTTGATTACCTTGGAAGATAGGCTTTTACTGGCTTCTATTCCAAGAAGTTTGCAGTCTAAGATTAGACTTTGGCACCCTTGCTCTTACTAAAGAGCATTATTCAGAAGTGGCTGCTCTGTCAGGCCAGGTAGATCAGAATTGGTTATTGATTAGTATGGTGATGTTTACATAGAGCCATGACAATGATTTAAATACTTTTCCATGAGTCAGTGATGCAAATATTTTCTGCTGGTTTAATCTGTTCACCCCTCTTTTAGATGAGTAACATGGGAAACACTTTGGTTAAAAAAATACTTTGAGACGGAAACTGAATGAATGAAACATTTTGGCAAACAAGGGAACAGGAGGAATTTTGTGCAGAAAGCAGAGCATTCAAGAAAGCCCCATATCCCCAACAGAATCCTTAGAAGCAAACCTGAGAGGTCAGCAGGTTTTCACTAGACTGCCAAGAGATGAGCAATGTTTAGTTTGCCTGTTTGCCGCCTTAAAATGTTGTCTACTGCCAGCCCCAAATCCCCTTCTCCCATTTCCAGTACAGCTTTCAGCCTGCAGGATAAGCAGATGATGAGGTATACAGTTGTGGTGTGGAAGGGATTCAAACAATGTGAATGAGATTTTGATCTTCTGGGACTTGTGTGATACAAAGAGTGAAGAGGAGGAAAGACAAACTGTTCTTCATTTGTAGAAAATGCTTTCATCTTTTCTGTGCTGTGTGGCTATGGCTGAGGAGAGAGAAGGGAAGTTATCTTCCTGCTTATATCAAATTGCCAGCCCTTTAATTTTGACCAGATGCACCATATAATTATGGCAGCTGAAGAATAGTTATAAAAGGATAGTTATAAAATGAATTAATCTTTGGCAAACTGAACTTCATTTTAAGTAATATCAGCATCACAGAAGATACAGGAAAGCAAATTTTTTGACAGGGTCAGTGCCTTTTTTAAATGATTGCATTTCTTGGCAGAATAGAAGGGAGCATTTGTACAAAGAGGCAAAGTATCCTAATTTCCAAACATATCTCTGGAACAGATACCTTTGCTGCTCTTCCCACAGAGCAAGCAGGGCTGGATACTGACAGGCACTCTGAACCTTGACCCCATCTGCTGAACTCCCCCATTTTCCTGAGGTTCCTATTGGCATTGTAGGTAGCATTCCTGACACTGTCACTGCACTCCACACTCTAATTATAACAAAGTACAGGAGGTTCAAACATGCTTGTTTCCCAAGGCTGCTAATGAGCCCAAGCTCTCCTTACCCTTAATGAACCAAGACTTGTTTGGGGGGATTCTTGTCCATCCCTGTTTTTTCATGGTCAGGGAAGGAGGCAAGGGTTCACACAACTGAACAATGACTTTACAGTGTAAAGGCTATGCAGCTGTGCCATCTGAAGCTGTCTTCGGTTATGAGCAACAAAGCTTAAATAGATTATACTGTGAGGAGGTACAGCTCCGTGAGTGTGAAGCATAGCTCTTGCTTCTGCTTCACTGACCTGTCTGCTCGCAGCAGCGATGGGCCCCTGATGGGAGCTTCAGTAGGGAGAGCTGCGTAGGGCGATGCTTTCAAATTCACTCTCTGTAATGCTGAATGCAGAAAAGGAAGCAAAATGAAGTTTCAGTTGATCTCTGAGAGGGGTGTGCAGCTGCCTTGTCTAGAAAATCCCATGCCCTCCATCTAAAAGTCATGGATTCCTAATCCACTTCAGATGATTAATAAGGCCACTAGAGCAAGCACTTAGTTCCTGAGTTTTAGCAATAAAGAATACTGACACAAAAGCACATGTGCATACACACACAAAACACTGAGCAAATCACACATTTCATTGTCTTCCTCTTTAGAGGCTCTTCTTGTAGATTAGAATCATCAGAAATTTGGGCTAAACTACTGTTTAATAGTTTGTTTCATCCGTATCTCTTTGGGCATTTCAGTTAGGACAATATAGAGTCCTTTGGAGATATTTACCAAAAACATGCTTGCAATATATTTTTGTGCATATTTTTATACATATGATCTTGAAATACACAGGAGCAATATATTAATATATATCATAATATACAATATATACATAAAAGATGTCAAAATATCATGTGCTTTCCTTGACACATGATTCCCTGTACATATTAAAGTATATATTTGCACAGGTAAACAATGAGGTATATTCTAAATGCTGTACTATTGCTATAATAGCAAATGAAAATATAAGTCGCAGAAAATAATTCTGGGAAACTGTATTAACAATGATAGATTTAAAGTTATGAGCTAGTATACTCTGGACTGATCTTGCACAATGCTATACAAAAGTGAAGGTTTTTAAGAAAGTTTTACTATTAGATTAGCAAAGACAAAAGCAGCATCTGCAGAAGAAATCTGGTGTCACTGTAACAGGTTCTTTGAAGGTCATCATTTTGGTTTTTTTTAGCAATGCACAGAAACATCTTCCATTCTCCTCAATCACATGAGAGAGAAAGAGAAAGCAAAAACAATTAAGAACAAGCTTTTGGTTTGCATTCTTAAGTGAACAGAGAGAGACAAGGAAAAGGAAAAGGAGGGAAAAAAAAAAAAAAAAGTCTAGTTTTAAATACCTTGATGTGTGCATGTGCAGTTTCAAAACTTTAGATCGCTCTCCCGCTTGGTGTTGTGGATTGATAGCACTGGGAGCCGCAGCAAAAGCTGACAACCCCCCACAGCTGACCCCTCATGTTCTCTCTCGCCTAATCGAATTTTACGTGTGTTTCCAGATAGCTGATCAGCTTCCCTGGATTTTGCTGACGCCACAGGAAAGCTTTGCCTGAAGATGGAAACACTGGAGTCGGAACTGACCTGCCCTATCTGTCTGGAGCTGTTTGAAGACCCGCTGCTGCTGCCCTGCGCTCACAGCCTCTGCTTCAACTGCGCGCACCGCATCCTCGTCTCCCACTGCGCCACCAACGAGCCGGTGGAGTCTATCACCGCCTTCCAGTGCCCCACCTGCCGCTATGTCATCACCCTCAGCCAGCGTGGCTTAGAGGGGCTCAAGCGCAACGTCACCCTGCAGAACATCATCGACCGGTTTCAGAAAGCCTCGGTGAGCGGGCCCAACTCCCCCAGCGAGACCCGCCGGGAGCGGGCTTTTGACAGCAACAGCATGTCGTCCTGCGAGAAGGTCCTCTGCCAGTTCTGCGACCAGGACCCTGCCCAGGAGGCGGTGAAGACCTGTGTTACCTGCGAGGTCTCCTACTGCGAGGAGTGCCTGAAAGCCACTCACCCCAACAAGAAGCCCTTCACTGGCCACCGGCTGATTGAGCCCATCCCAGACTCTCACATCAGGGGATTAATGTGCTTGGAGCACGAGGACGAGAAGGTTAACATGTACTGCGTGACTGATGACCAGCTGATCTGTGCCTTGTGCAAGCTAGTCGGACGGCACCGTGACCATCAGGTGGCAGCTTTAAGCGAGCGCTATGACAAGTTAAAGGTTAGTGATACCTACCAGCCTCTGCACCCCATGGCGCGTGGTTGGGAAGGAAAGCGTCCTTCAGATGGGTGTTGTATTTCCTCCTTTGGGCAGGGGCTGGTAACGGCAGGTGTGCGGTCTGTCACCAGATGAGATACATATACAGATCTATATGTGCTCATCAAAATTGAAAAGGTGTCAGATTTTCCCTTAAAGACAGATTTCTCAGTTGTGCTTTGATTTTTCTATAGCAATCATAAGGAACATGCAGTGTGCACTACTGCTGGGGTGAATTTGCTTATCTGCCTACATCTTCACTCATGTCATCTAGCAGGATTTTCATGTTGACTGCACATACACAGGCACTGACGGAAATGTCAGGCTTTCTTCACATACACTCTGCTGTTGATTATTTTTCATTGAGTTGTTTTCATTGTGGAAAGCTCTTTGCATCATTGCTAGCAGAAGATGTATTTACATGCACTTGCTTCAGGGGCTGCAGCTGCCCAACCAGCCCAGGGGGTTCGAATGCCAGCCTTGCTCTTCCTGTGATGCCTTGCAGGAAAAAAAAAACAAAATTCTTCCCTAGTTCCTTGTAGCAATTCCCATGGTTATGCGAGCTCTCCGTCCCCACTGGCATGGCATCTCACCCACCCAGCACCCAGGCGACTGGCAGTCCCTGACTCGTGCGGGACATCCTCACCAGGGACAACGGGAGGCTCAGCTGGCTCCTCAGACTCCCGCTGAGGCCAAGTCAAGTAGCCCCTGACCCATCACGCCAATTCAGGTGCTATGGCAGAGCACAGGAATGAATTTAAAACCCTAAGCTGCCGTTCCTCATTCCCCCAGGCTGGTCTGTGTGTGCTTGCCTGCCTGTGTTTTGAGGGGATTTCTTAGCTATGAACTGCAACTGAGAAGTCACAAGTGTGGAGGGCAAATATTAACTGCCAGCTTTCTCACACAGAATTTCAGAGATGTGAAAAGAAACTGTTTTAATAGGTTTAACTAACAGGAAGGGCTTTCTTAAATACCTTCAGATAAAAACACGAGGCTGCACACATCTACAACAACTTTATGTGAGTGCAGGTAAGTTTTGCATACACATACCACATTTTTTTATGCCTCTATGCATGTGCAAGCATGCAGATCATATTCTACAATTACATTAATATAATGAAAAATACTTCTTTACCTGAACCTATTAGCTTCTTTTCATCTCTTAAAGACTTTTTTTATTCAATAAGGGGTTGTAATTTCTGCTTTTTATTTCCTTTAAGCAGGTTTATTTTTTCTTTAACAATTAAGAGTTTAGCCATTAGTAAAATGGACTATAAATGTGAATACAAGGGGCGTGGACCTACAATTCTTTTCAATAATCCAGCAGGTTTACATGCTTACCAGGTGCTTCTATTTAGTAAGCTAGTAGTGACTGAATGACTGTATTTTTTATCAACTTTATATGAGCAGAAATGTGATACTTAACATGAAGTACCTTCAAAATTAAATACTCCATAAGAATATTTTTGAGGATGTCAATAAACGTTAAAGAAAAAATTCTTATTGCTGATGTACTTAGATATGACTAGTCTTGAATGAAAAGTTTGAAAAGCATGTATCTTCTTTTGAGATTTTTGGCTTAACATTGCAGGTGGTTAAGAAAAAAAATAGGGTGTTTTTGCATAATCTATGCTTTTGCTGTGCAGATTCCTAAGCAAACTCTGGATGGGTATCTCACACAGACAAGCAACATTCACATTAAATATTATTCAGTTTAGCTAATTTGGAAGAAGCCTAATAGAATACTTTCTGCCAGCCTTGTTCAAGAATAATTTGAGTACTAATTTAATGGTTAGGATAGGCCTAGATCAAATAACCCTTTCCTTACAATGGCAATTCCTATAATTCTTTATAATGTCCACAGAATTTTTGAGACTTGGACTTTCTTTGTACCCAGTCTATCTAGAATCAGTTTATAAAGAAAATTTTTAGTCTACATGAAATCCAGTTACTAACCTTTTTGTTATGAGGCAGTCTATTTCACTTTGCTATTCCCAGCAATTACACCAGTTGTGCCAATTTTGCCACTGGTTTCAACATATTTACACTGAGCCCAGGGATAGCTGCTAATGTAAGTATTTGGTGCAAGCTTGCAGATAGTCTTTGTTAACCTACCAATAATGTGCAGATGCCATTGGCAAATGCAATGTGCAAGTAGATCAGAAATAAAGCAGATCAGAAAATTCCCCTCTGAAAAACAGGTTGTTGCTCATTATATTGCTGCTGTGGGTTTTTAAATACATGAGTCTGTTTGGTTGATAGATAGGTTACCAAAATTTAAAATGAAAATTCTAAAAGAATGAGCAAATGGTAGTCAATAGTGTAGTGGATTCATTCAAAAATGGTTGGTTAATTGTATCTTTAAAAAAGAAACCCCAAACCGCTTCAAGTGACATTTTCTTTTCTTGCAATTTTCTTTTTTAAATCAACACATTGTTGATGCTAACAACAGCAACTAGTGTAGCTCTGGGTGTCAAGCTATGCTAATTACTCACATTCTCTTCCAGCAGTGTTACTAATTATTTAAACTATATCTCACCCTTCATTAAGCATAGGACAAAAGATGCCATTGCAATCTAGCTCCTTTTGTGGCAAAAATGAAACCCTTTAATTAGGAGTTCTGTACACTTGTCCAGCAGAGAAGTCTATGTTAAAGCATGTTTAACAGTCAGTGTAATCACAGTTGTGGACATTTGAAAAGGAGAAAGTGTTTTCCTTTGGCAGCTATGGCTCCAGCCATAGCTTTTCTTAATGAACTTTTACTGTGGGTGGAAGGAGCTGACGACACATTCCAGAACCACTTCTTTCTTAGTTACCAAGACCTCACAGTATAACTATGTGTGTATAATTATTTTAGTGTTTATAGACTTTTTATTTTTTTATTTTCTTTTTAAAAAAAAATAAAAAAAAAACATAAACACAGATGCCTTAAAAATAGAAGCCTCATAAACCGTGACAAAAAGAGAGAATAGGAAACATTCCAGTGGTACATTGACTTTATGAGGTGGTGGTCATTATTGTAGTAAAAGTTAGAAATAAATTTTAGCTACATAAGCAATGAGAGCTTTAAAAATAGAAGATACAAATGCTGATGTTTACTCCGCTATACTATCACAAAGAAAATATTTTTGTCTAACTATTTTTGATGTTGATTCTTTGTTTTTTTTTTTTTTTTCTTGTTGCAATGGCAAGGAAAACACAATTTAAAAGTGCACTTGTTATTTTTAGAGAAAATTAATGAAAAATACTGTTGTCCTATTATACTCCTTGTCCTATTATGTATTTATACTCCGGAAAATCATAAGAGAAATTAAAATATAAAATTGTTTTGGAAGAAGGAAGAATATTTGGGGGAGACGGTGGTGGGTGAGGATGGAGAGTTATCATCCATTTCATTTTAGCCAAAGAGCCATGGAGAGATGTGACAAAAGAGGAAGATAAACAATAAACCATATTTTAAAGTGGTATAAAACCTTCTTAACTCCATTGAAACCAACTATTTTACTCCTCTTCATATTTACTGTGAATATGGTCATTCACATGTATAACCCTGCCCAAAATTATTTTTGAAATGATTTCCTTGCCGCTTAATCTTTTATTAAATCAAACTGTTAGAGGTTACCAGTGGTTCTCTGTGGTTTTCTTTGAACCTTATTAGCACTGTTGCGTATTGGACATGTTTATGAAGGCAGGGAAGTCCTCTGAATGTCAGTCCGGAATTCCAAGAACAAAAGGGAGCTTCTTGTTTGTATGCTTTTTATTTCATTTGAGTGGCAGAATCCATGGACATCTATTTTTTTCTGCACTTCTTTATTCAGGATGCAAGGATTCGGTTTTCATTATGTGTCAATTCAATTACTCACAAATATTTTTTGGTGGGAAGCAGCCATAAGCTGTTTCCACATAAGAAGAATTGCATTCAACTCCCATAAACCTACCTTGGTGGTATAAAGGTAAGAGATTTTGTCAGGTCCACAACTTCTACAAATAGAGCACAAAAATATATGTCCTTCCCTGATACTCTGAGATAAAAACTTCTCATATTTAAATGTCTGTGCAGAGATACTGGCAAAATATGTGGGAAGATTTCCCACTATTTCTTCTTTGTGATATTTTGTATTTGCAGCTTGATCATTAATTGATATATTATGATACTGTGAGAACCTAACAATTCTAAGCCTGTCCTCAAACAAACAGTTTGGTTGGCAATACAGGAATACTGGTTTCTGTACTTATATATAAATACATTATGCAAATATATGTAAATATATGCTGTATACATTTTATCAATTTTATATTAATATTTAAAGGGTTTGCATTAATACAATAACATGGCAATACTACATATGTTTGTATGTATGTATGTGTAGATGTGTTTGGATAGCACAGAAATACACATAATTTCTAGCAATTAATATCCAGAACTGTGTAATTGTATAAATATACGTATGCCGATATTTTAAGTAAATATAAATTTTCACTTATAGGTAGGACAAATAAAAATATATTTGATCATGTGTGCATTAACTACACCTTAGTTGTTTTTCTTGGTATTTATTTTTAATACTTCATGAATATAACTTTTTTAGTAGTATTTTTTTTGCCTGCATGCCCTTAAATACTAACTTCCTATTTATTGGAAGCAATTTATAGTAAAAAATAAAAAATAAAATAAAATCAACTGATATGAAATATGATAGTATTTCAGTGTTATAGTGATATGCATTATTAAATGTTTAGATAAGTGGCACTTTTCCATACATAATACTTAATAATTTCAAAATGTAGAAAAATACCTTCTACAGTGACAGCTAAGCAACTTTAGTATATACATAAACCACTATAACTAACCTGAAAAAACGTGAACTCCTGAACTTTCATTGTTATTAAATTAGCTACAGCTTTGTATTATTATTAGATTAGGTACTGCTTGACACATATTTCATTGTATTTGTTATGAAATG